ATTGAGACTTGAATGAAGTTATTGCGTTTTGTTAAAATTGATGGAAATTGGATGCAGCCATTCTGCTTCTCTTTTGATCCGTAGACCTTAGCTTGTCTTAGCCCTAGCCCATCAGTTAACTTATACATACGCCATGACACTTCAAATCGCCTCCAAAAAGTGCACGACTTTTGAAATATTCTATATAAAACCTATAGTTTTTCCGAGTCTCTATAAAACATCCATGACCCTTCAGACAGAATCTCTTTAGCTCCTGTTTTGGAAATACTGACTTCAATTTATCTTAAACACTCCCATCAGAGTGTCTATAAAACATCTGTTCAAAGATTCCCTGCTTCACTTCTTCTGTGTAGGTTCAGTATAACTCGTCTATATAGACTCTCTTCAGCTCGTTTATAAAGACTCCCTTTAGGTCGTCTATAGAGACTACCTTTGGTCGTATATATAGACTCCCTTCAGCTCGTCTATAGAGGACTCCTTCAGCTCGTCTATAGAGGAATCCTTCAGCTCGTCTATGGAGGACTCCTTCAGCTCGTCTATAGAGACTCCCTTTAGCTCATCTATAAAGACTCCATTCAGCTCGTCTATAGAGAATCCCTCCTGGTCGTCTATAGAGACTCCCTCCTGGTCGTCTATAGAGACTCCCTCCTGGTCGTCTATAGAGAATCCTCCTGGTCGTCTATAGAGACTCCCTCCTGGTCGTCTATAGAGACTCCCTTCTGGTCGTCTATAGAGACTCCCTTCATACACTCCACTTAATAGTGAAGGGGATAAAAATGCATGAGCTTCCGGTCGCCTTGCATTGATTTTTTTCAGATTTTTTTTTTTTTTTTTTTTTGGTTATCCACGTTCTGCTTGTCCTTTTTTGGTTTATGGGTTCTCCTATGCATATGTGTATTGACAATAAGTATACGTTACGATTACCTTTATTCCATTTTTGCCTGTCCGATTGTTTGAGACCATTCTCTGGGGAACCTTATATATAATACCTCTGTTAATTTGACGGTTATTATTAGATGCAAATCTGCGACCCGTGCTTGGGCGCCTTTTCCACAATAGCAATATCGGAGATCTCAGTTCACTTGAGGTTGATTTCTCTACAAAAAAAAACTCAGAGGCAATTGAGGCATAAAATTTCCAATAGAAGAATATATCTCGACATAAAATATTCTTTAAAAGATCCACTCCCCTTTCATGCTTCAAAAATAATCTTTACAAATACACGTATTATTGTAGGCTTGAAAGTATATTATTCAAAAATAAAAAAATGTTGCTCTTTGAAAAATATTTTTAAAAAATACGCACCTTATTTGCACCTTGAGAAATTATTCTTTAAAAATGGAAATTTTGGTAGTTGAAAAAAATATTCTTTAAAAAATCCACGGTTTCTGGTAGACTTGAAATACTAGTTTTTAAAAAATCCAATCTGTTTTTTGGTCTTTGAAAAAATATTTCGTTCAAAAACCAGCCTATAAAAATATTCCCTTAAAAGCTTTAAAGTTTCCTCAAATTCCCCCTGGTATCCTCCATTTTTCCATCTGCATAAATATAGGTATTCCATGTGATTATACCCACGCACCTCGTAGGTAGCCGGGTGGCAAGCTAGCTAAACCCCCAGCATCCTTCCGTTGTTTTTCTGGTGTTGCAAATTAAGTTGAAATCAAACAGTATTTCTTTTTCTACTGCAACACATTTCCAGTCAGGATGTTTGAATAATTTACGTGATGTGCTGCAGCATATCTATCAGCCATTGTCCTACCATAGAACACGATTGTTGCCTAGTACATACATAGATATTAGAGAACTCCGGCGAATGAGTAAGTGGGCAAATAAGCTATGTAGTTAAAGCCATGTTCGTTCTTTTTTTTTTCGCACCAAACCCAGTTAAGAATATATCTATGCTCATCACAATCATCACCATTCCAATCACTATCAACCTCATCGTCATCCTGCTACTCGAATATCACCACTGACACTGGCATACTTTGTCAGGCGACAGGAGAGACGTGAACAACAACTTGTTCATATTTCACTCATATTGTAACAACTTTACGCTTGTCATTGTTTTTCATACGTGAGCTGAACCTAAATCATCAACCGAAAAAGTATTGAATAAAAAGGATGAATTTGAAGGGGGTTAGGGGGAAGTCACAAGACCTAAAACAACAGACACTTTCATTTGCAACAATAATAATAACTACACGAAGTGAATAACAACAACAACAGCGAAATAAATAAAAACAAAATTGAAGTAATATTTCAAGTTATTACTGAATATATAAATACAATTTATATATATGTCCCAAACTACGTGAAGGAGAGTTACCAAAAAATATTCTTTAAAAAATCCACGCCATGTTGTTGGCTACTAAAAAAATATTCTTTAAAAAAATCCAGGCCTTGTTGTTGGCTACTTAAAAAAATAAATTTTTTTTAAAAAAATCCATGCCTTTTTGGGTATTTGAAAAAAAATATTCTTAAAAAAATCCATGCCTTGTTGGGTACTTGAAAAAATATTCTTTAAAAAATCCACGCCTTATTGTAGCCTTGATTTTTCAAAAAAAAACATGCCTTATTGTAGCCTTGAAAAAATATTCTTTAAAAAATCCACTCCTTGTTGGCTACTTGAAAAAATACACGCCTTGTTGGCTACTTGAAAAAATATTCTTTACAAAATCCATGGCTTACTGGCTACTTGAAAAAAATACTTTTTAAAAAACATCCTCGATTTTTTTATACCCTCCACCATAGTATGGTGAAGGGTATCTGTCTGTTGTAATCACTCTAGCGTCTAAACGAATTGAGATAGATCGCCAAAATTTTGCTTTTGTCTGCAGGCAGGTTTGAACATGAGCTTTATCGGTTCACGTTTAGGCATAGCTCCCATATAAGGGTACCCCCCAATTTCGGTATTTTGGGGGTTCTTGAGCGCGTTTTTCAAACGAACTCGCTGAAATTTGGTATTTTGTACCAAAAATTATTAATATTCAACCCTTTTAGGGGTAGTCCCCATATAACCCTCTTTATACCCATCACCACACTGTGGTACAGGGTATTATGTCTTTGTGCATATTTTTGTAACAGGCAAAAGTAATCGAGATTGCCTTATGGTTCCTTTTGAGAATATGCATAGAATCACTTTCTGAGTCGATTTATGCATGTCCGTCCGTCCGTCTGTCGATGTTAAATTGTAAACAAAGTACAGGTCGAATTTATGATCCGATTTGGATGAAATTTGACACAACTCACTTATTTGGCCCAAGGACGAACCCTATTGAAATTGGGGAAAATCGGTTCGAATTTAGATATAGCTCCCATATATATTTTCGTCCGACTTAGGGTAAATGGTGTACTAAAGTCCTTATATATCTTTCGATTTGCACGAAATTTGGTATAGCCTACTGAATTAGGTCTACAATGATGTGTGCTAAGTTTCGTGGAAATCGGTTCAGATTTAGATATAGCTCTCATATACAGTTTCGGCCGGTTTTAGGTAAATGGTGCACCAAAGTCCCTGAAAAGCATTTGATTTGCACGAATTTTGGCATAGCGTATTGAATTAAGTCTAGAATGACGTGCGCTAAGTTTCGTGAAAATCGGTTCAGATTTAGATATAGCTCCCATATATAGTTTCACCCGATTTAAGGTAAATGGTGTACCAAAGTCCCTATATATATTTCGATTTGCACGAAATTTGGCATAGCCTACTGAATAAGGTCTAGAATGATGTGTGGTGAGTTTCATGAAAATCGGTTTAGATTTAGATATAGCTCCCATATATATTTTCGTCTGATTTAAGGTAAATAGGGTACCAAGGTCCCTAAATATCTTTCGATTTGGCACAGCGTAATGAGTTAGGTCTAGAATGATGTATGCCAATTTTCCTGAAAATCAGCCCAGATTTAGATAAAGCTCCCATGTATATTTTCGACCGATTTAAAGTAAATGGTGTACCAAAGCCCCTATATATATTTCGATTTGCACGAAATTTGGTATAGCCTAATTAATTAGGTCTGGAATGATGTGTGCTAAGTTTCGTGAAAACCGGTTCAGATTTAGATATAGCCCCCATATACAGTTTCGGCCGATTTTAGGTCCGGTTTTAAGTAAATTGTGCACTAGAGATCCATAGGTAGGTGGATTGACAAAACGTACTGAAGTTAATATAAATTAATCTCTGACAGGTTGGCTTGAAATCGGTTCAGATATAAATATAATGTAGCTTTCGTATATAATTTCGACTTATTTATGTTAATTGTACACTAAGTAATCAATGGGTGTGATTAAATTTTAAACAGTGCAACGATACATATGTAGGATACATATGTAGAATATACCCAAAGTGGTGAAGGGTATCATATAGTCGGCCCAGTTCGACTTTACTATTTTCCTTACTGGTTTTTATATTAAAATAGTTATCTGATTTGTTCCGCGTCTTGGGTTTGGTTTTAACTTAACTATTTCACCTGCGGAGGATATCGAGAACGATGAACTATAGTCCACATTTAGGCCTAGCGCCCATATAATAATACCTGCCGATTTTCGGGATTTTTAATATTTAGCGCAAAGAATTGTATTCTGAAGCTAAAATGTTAATTACGAAATTGAGCTATATCTGTTACCAATTAGGCCGAAATAAAACCTGTGTATATTGGTGATGACCTTATATTACTATGACTATATTATATATTTTGAAGACATCTTAACTGCATCCTACAATGCGTTGTCAATATCGCACCACTTTCTGGGGTTTTTAGGAAAAATATCCATTAAAAATTGCTGAAATTTGTATTTGGTTAGTATACCTATGGTCGAGGGTATCCAAAGTTCGGCCCGGCCGAACTTAACGCCTTTTTCACTTGTTTTTTTTTTGTTTTTAAGGAGAAATTTGGATCCACATCGGTCTTTTGAAAAAATTATGTCAATTCTCTTCATTGTAAAACATAGTTATTATAATTTTCCCTTCTCCCTCTCTTTATTTTTTTCTCGCTACAGCATTTCCCATGGCTCTAAATATGTGGAACGTGGCAATGAACCACGTTTGGTTATCGACAACGTGACATACGACTATCAAGGTGAATATGAATGCCATGCCACAAATTACATCAATGGCCAGGAACGAGTGGCCATATCGGATCCGGTTTCATTGCAAGTTGTTGGTAAGTTCAAAAAAAAAAAAAAAAACAAAAAAAATTGAAACGAAAATAATTGAAATAACAGATGAATGTGCAAATATCTGCGTGCGCGTGTGTGTGTTTATGTCCATGTGAATGTTAAGTGGCTGCGTGTCAAGGGGGTGGGTGGCACGGCGTGGTAATGGACAGCGAATAAAATGTAATGAATGAAATGCCATGCTTTACTTATGTATTTCCATGGAAATTTAATAAAGAAATGTGAAAACGATGTACCACCGTGCGCTCTCACACACTCACACACCAACAGAGAAAGTTCTTAGTATTTTAACTGGAAACGAAATATTATTGAAATTTAAAATGCTGTTTGTAATGAAAATACAGTAGAAGCAGTAGAAAAAAAAGAACATTGTACAAAAAGTTTGTTGGAGATTTAATGGTTTTTAATTTACAAATGTTATTAGTTCTGCCATGTTTTATTTTGTTTAAGAACATTATTTTATTATATTGGGAAATGTTGTGTTAGAAATGGGAGGGCTGAAAAGGTAGCTGAATAAAATTTTAAATTTAATTTTTTATTGGCAAATGAATAAAAGAGGCATAATGAATTTCAATTATTAAAACTTCAATAGAAAAATTTAAATACCTCTAAAGGGAGATTTTTTTTTCAAATACTAGATAATGGAATTAATTTCAGGATATGTCTATTCCAAAATATACTCGAATACATCTAGAAGTCCCAGCATTTAAATATCTGCTGGCAAATCTTAAAAAAATAATTTATGTAAAATATTTATTAAATTATTGGTCATATGTATGTCGGTTGTAACTGAAGGTGTCGGTAATCAGACATTATCTTCGAAATGTTTATAGGCTTGGTAAAAAATATTACCATATCCAAAATAAGAATCAATTTAATCGGGAAGATTTCAAAATTATAACAATTCATAGGGTAGGAGTGAACAGTTAGGCACTACCTTTGGTCTGAATATTAGATCGACGTTTTGTGGTGTACAAAATTAAGTTGATCTGAGATAAAAGCTCTTTTGTATAAACTAAGGATAAACTTTATTGGAAATTTGAGAAAATCGATTTAGGTTTAGATATAGCTTCCGATTCCACAATAGTTCATACAACTTATGAATTGGATAAGATACAGACCTTTTATGACTGTTTCAATAAAAAACTTAGGAGCATATATTCTATATACCGAAAATTGTGAAGGATATTCGTTCGACTTTCCTTACTGGTTTATTGCATCGATATATGCAAGATAGCCATAATACTGGTTTTAAGGTGGACCAACCATTGTGAGGTATTACCTGAAAGAAGAATAGAGACGAAAATTCAATGAGGTTTAGGCGGTTGGGTTGGGCAAAGCCTATAGTAAAACGTAGACCAATATATTCCATTTTCAATACCAAACACCCTAGGAACAATAACCATGTATATGCAAAAATTCAAAGCCACATATAACGTTACCCCCCATTTGTCGGTATTTTTGGGGAGATTGGTCACGTTTCTAAACGAATTGACTCTATTGTGTTTCTCATTTGATTTTAAGTCTTCCTACCAAAAAATTTATAAAGATCTTGAACGATTACAGGAATTTAAAAGGGCCAACTCGTTGTGGAGGGCACAAAAACAGTTTGGCTTGTCCGAATGACGTTCTTACTTGTTTTAAAAATATTTTTTCAAGGACTATCAGAGTCTAATTTTTATACCCTTCAAAAATATGTTGTGTATGCTCCAAAAGTTTGTTAGTCACATTTCGACTTTTTTTAGTCATATCTCGACTAGTCTAGTCGATTTAGATTTGTGTCCGGCCGTATTAACCAATCGTCACGAAATTTGGCATCTAGGACTGGTTTTGGCCAAGGATGGTAATGAACGGTTAATATGGTCCAAAAACATTATTTTTTTCTTTTTTTCCACAATTATGATCCGAACGAAATTTAACAAGAAGAAAGGGATCTGACCATGGAATAAATATGGCCCATGATAATCAGACAATATTTAGCAAAACATATAATCCAGACTTTTGTGTGAAAAACTGCAAAATTTGGCAAGTGAGAAGTGGGAGTCTTCATAAAAACACATATGAACTTCCGGTTATGCTCAAGGACAACGCTTACAAGTTTGGATGATGATCAGATATTTTGAGATGAAGTGGATTTTTCTAGTCCTTCTATTTCAAAACAAAAATAACAAATTTTACAAGGGGGAAGTCGAGACTGAACATCTAATTATAATGAGCCCAGACTTTTGTGTGTAAAAAAACAACATTTGAATCTTAAGGCGTTCTCTCCAGGAAAACATGAATCGGAATAGAATAAGAAAGAGGAGTTGTTGACCTCTAACTGGTCAAGAGGATGCAAATATTGCAAAATATTTCCCGTACTCGCAGAAAAATATAATTCAGTGGTAGTTGTGTAGGGTATCTTTTGGTCGGACCCATCCGGCAATACTGTTCCACTCACTTTGTTTTTATTATTTCCCATGGACTATCAAGCCTACATTTTCTATGAGAATATTTTCCAAGTGCTTTTTGTATCTATTTTTTTGATAATACTTCCTAAGGACTAAGGGGAATTAAATTTTCTAGAAAAAATTTTCCGAGGAACATCAGTGTATAGATTCTATAAATAATATTCCCCAAACACTATCAGAACGAAGATTTTATAAATACCAGTGAGCGGAGCAGTATAGTCGGACGGGGCCGACCATATGATACCATACACAACTTCCACGAAAAACTAACATTCTGTGGATTTATATTCTGAGCTTTGGCATTATTTCGCGATATTTGAACCATCTGGACCAACTAGAAGCCGACAATTATTACTAATGTTCAGTACAGCCCTCCTAATTACTTGTCCAGATTCCCATCCCTTGTGTTGTGATCTTCTAATTCCCATTGGAGCCTATAGATCGACTCGAAAAAACACTAAAAATCAAGTTTTCGGTCCACTTCATCACAATCTAATTATATGATCGTCACCGAAAATTATAGGCTTTATCCTTGACCATAACTGGATCTTCATGGAACGTTTTAAAGCGATCAGCGCTATATTTCCGCCCTCTAGTGTGGTATAGGGTTACTAAATAATATCTGAATACGTAAGCACCTGTAAATGTTTAAGTGTAACTCCCACATCTGAGTACATACGACCATGTAATTGGTATCAATTTAAGAAACATGTTTTTCCAAGGACTATCTGAGCGCAGATTTTATGAAGCATATTGTTCTAAGGAACTATTAAAGAGTAGTATTTTATACTCTTCACCACACTGTTGTACAGGGTATTATGTCTTTGTGCATATGTTTGTAACAAGCAAAAGGTAACGAAGTTGACACATGGTTCCTTTTGAGAATATGCATAGAATCACTTTCTGAGTCGATTTATGCATGTCCGTACATCTGTCCGTCTGTTGGTGTTATATTGTAAACAAAGTACAGATCGCATTTATAATCCGATTTGGATGAAATTTGGTACAGCTCATTTGTTTGGCCCAAGGACGAACTCTATTGAAATTGGGAATTAGGTAAATAGTGCACCAAAGTCCTTATATATTTGGCATAGCGTACCGAATTATGTCTATAATAATGTGTGTTAAGTTTCGTGGAAATCGGTTCAGATTTAGATATATTATATATTTTCGTCCGATTTTATGTAAATAGTCCACGAAAGTCTCATATATCCTTCGATTTGCACGAAATATGGCATAGCGTACTGAATTATGTCTAGAATAATGTGTGTCAAGTTTCGTGAAAATCGGTTCAGCTGTAGATAAAGTTCCCGTATATATTTTCGTCCGATTTAATGTAAATGGTATACCAGTGTACCTATATGTCCTTCGATTTACACGAAATTTGGTACAGCGTACCGAATTAAGTCTAGAACGATGTGTGCTAAGTTTCGTGAAAATCGTTCCAGATTTATATATAGCTCCATAAATATATATATATATATATATATATACATTGTTCCGATTTAAGGGAAATGGTGCACCAAAGTCCCTAAATATCTTTCGATTTGCACGAAACTTGGCATAGCGTACGGAATTAAATCGAATATGGTGTGTGTTAAAATTCATGAACATCGGTTCAGATTTATATACAGCTCCCATATATATTTTCGTCCGATTTTATGTAAATAGTGCACCTCTATATATCCTTCGATTTGCACGAAATAAGGCATAGCGTAATGAATTGAGTCTAGAATAATTAAATTTCGTGAAAGTCGATTCAGATTCGAGGGAACATTGGCATGCAATTATAAGGATAAATATCTACAATATACCCAAAGTGGTGAAGGGTATCATATATTCGGCCAAGTCTGACTTTATTACTTTCCTTACTCGTTTTTTTATATTTTCCAATGACTATAACAAGTGAAAAAGCTAGAAATGAAAATATAGGGTACATACCAAAAAGTGGGCCTATACCGACATTTCTAAAAAGGGATTATGTAAACCATAATAAAAAAATCAGTAATTTTTAATGGATAATTATACACTGTGGCTAATCGAAATATTGGTTCTAGACCCCATATTTCTTTGGACCAAATACGTTTCAAACAATTTAGATTTCATCCAAACTTTGTCCACCTTATTATTTCTTCCAATCTTAGTTCAAATTCGAAGATGGGGAATATCGGTCCACTTCTTCTGGAACCTTCATACAGGGACTAGGTCTAAATGCGGGTTATAGTTCATTATCGAACCTAACGTTCTACTTTTTTATCTCGATATCCTCCGCAGGTGAAATGATTACATAAGAGTCTTAGAACCAAACTCAAAATGCGGAACAAATCATGTAACCATTTTAATATAAAAAATTTAATATACCCTCCATACATACTACCCCAAAATGGGGGCGAATATTAATAATTTTTGGTAGGGAGATTTGGTACCATATACGATTACAAAATACCAATTTGCAGTAAATTCGGTTGAAAAAAGCGCAAGAACCCCAAAATACCGAAAATTAGTGGTACCCTTATATGGGGGCTATCAGAAAAATGGACCCATATTTATAATTTTTTTGTGGAGAGATTTGGGACCTATTAAGAACTCAAAACACCAAATTACAGCTAATTCGGCGGAAAAATACGATCAAAGTCCCCAAAATACTGAAAATTGGAGGTACCATTATATGGGGGCTACCAGAAAAAATGGACCTATATTTATAATTTTTTAATTTAAGTACCCAACAAGAACTCAATACAGCAAATTTCAGCGAATTCGGTTGAAAAACGCGCTCAAGAACCCCAAAATACCGAAAATTTTGTGGTACCCTTATATGGGAGCTATGCCTGAACGTGGACCGATATACCATCTTCGAACTTGACCTGCCTGCAGACAAAAGACAACCCTATGCAAAATTTCAGTACTCTATCTCAATTCCTTCAGAATATAGCGTGATTACAACAGACGGACGGACATGGCGTCTTAGAATTTTACCCTGATCAAGAATATGTATACTTTATAGTGTCGGAAATGAATATTTCGTTGAGATACAAACGGAATGACAAAATTAATATACCCTCCATACTATGGTAGAGGGTATAAAAATGCAGAATATTTTCAGGGACTATTAAAGCCTTTTTAAAGAATATTTTCTAGGGACGATCAGACTATTCTATAAATATATATTTTTTTCAGGGACTATCAGAGTTTGGATTTTGTAAAAAAATTTGTTTCAAGGACTATCAGAGCGAAAAGTTTATAGATTTTTTTTAAAAAAATATATTTTTCAAGCACTATCTGTCCGTGTATTTTAAATATAATAATTTTCCAGGGACTATCAGACCGTAGATTACAAAAAAATCCAATGACTATGAGAACGTAGATTTAAAAATAATGAACTTTTACCATGGGCTCTCGGAACTTTAAAGAATATTTTCATGAAGAATTAAAATATATATATATATATATATATATATATATATATTTGTATTTGAATTTTGCCTTGTAAGGGCTATTAGAGAGTAGTGATCATTTAAAAGTAATTTTTAAGTGATTATTTATACTACTTCGAGTAGAACTCAATGATCGAAGTATTGCAATAAAAAGGAAAGCCAGGAGAAGAACCTATGTACCCACCATTATGCGACGCGTTTCGCCGTTGGTTAAGCGGCTCATCAGGCATATTGGGCTATGTGGCTTTACAAAGGTCGTATGTTGATATCTTGTATTTATTCCACCCTGATGCGAAACTTGCATATGCGAATTAAATTCAAATTTGTCAAAGTTGGACATTTGTCTTCATTCTAGAAACAGTCCTATTCGAAGCAGATTTTTGCTGTAGCGATGGATAATTAATCCACATACCTACAATTGCTTTGAATTTAATTGAGATTTTTCCATTGGCCGTTGAGGGTAAGGGTCTTATACCCTTTTTGTGCATCTACTAATTTATAATAAAAACATTTTTTTTTTTTATTTTCAATATTAACATTTATTTCCATTTTCTCTGTCTTTGCATTTCAGGTGCTCCACAAGTTTTGCGTTTACACCCCTCCATGCACACAGTGATGGTGAAGAGAGGTGATCCAGCCTCATTAACATTAGTGGTGTGTGCTGATCCACGACCACATCGTGTGGCCTGGGAATGGGGTTCATTGCGTTTGGATGCTGGCTCCTCTATTGGTAAGGTCGAAAGGCAAACACTCAGACACCGATGTACACTAATGAAAATTTTCTAAACCACCATCAAAACAAATTCTAAATTTTATTTTTCTATTTCTATTTATTTTTTCGGTTTTCGCTATTCCCCCAAAATGTTGGACAACAACGAATGTTATTTTTGGAACCGCAAATGTTGTAACTCAAACATGGTTGGACTATATGAAACAACATGGTTATTGAATGGCTGCTGAATGCTTGATGGAACATTTTCGTATTTTTTTTGGGGGTGGTCAACAATTTGTGAATTGAAAATGAATTCGGATATGAATGAATGACAATCTAAATGTTAAATAAATGCCAACACATTATAACGAATTAAATTTCATATTGTGGCTGTTCAAATTGAAATCATGTGGATATTCCCGCAAACGTACACACACATGTATACACATGCCCTTAAAACCTTGCACATTTCCGTGATGACGATGATGGTGACTACAAATGTATTGGCCATGGCCATGCTGGTAAAAATGATGCTTTGGGTTATTTTCGGTTTGACTGACACATGTAATGCCTGTAACCAAATATTGCCCTGACTCACTCACATCCTGCCAATGGTGCCCATGGCATTACTACCACAACCATCACCAATGCCGCTGCTGCCATCATTGCCACCACTACCACCACCAACAATAACAAAAATAATTCCACATGTTGACCACTAATTAACGAATTTCTGGCGGCCACATACATGCAACACAACGTTCTACCGCAAATGCGAATAATAATTATCCCTGGGAAAAATCAAAATGATGAACACCATCACCAATCCAATCACAATCAACCTCATCATCGAAATTGTGGTGGTTTTCAACGTCATGATGATGATGACCATCATTATCCTGATGCTACTGGTGCGGCTACTGGTTCTGTTCAACAAAAATATTTGCATGGCGTGATATGAAATCTATGTTCAACCTTCCTCCGCCTTTGGCAAAAATCCTGACATCTATTTTTGTGGAAAAACCGTTCGGAAACTTTTCACATTGGTCGGATGTTTATCTGTTTGAATTGGATCGAAATTATGTCAATTGAAAACTGAAAATAAATTGATTACAATTTTTTGACAAATTATTTAAACATGATCTCGATATGGATAAATATGACATATCACATAATTCTAATCACATTTTGAAATATCCTTTCTATGCTTTTTATGAATTCCCAAAAAAATCGCATTTCCCAAAACTGTCATACAAATCAATTGACCAACCTTTATTTACACACACACATACATACATACATTTTGCACTACACTAAAACCTAACCCCTTACATATTTATCCATTCCCAATACCTTACCTTACCATTCATCCATCAATCCCTGCATTCATCTATTTAACTTTTGTCAATCGCGTGATGTGTGGCATCACCGCTACTGCTATCCATGTCCATTTTTTCTTCCCTCCCTTTCTGTGTGTGTGTTTTCCTTTTCGTTTTTGTTTTTCTCTTCTTTTCTTCTCTCCAACAGACCGTTTTCGTGCCGATGATTTACTACAAGATTCACGTGAGGACTGTTATCTATCGACGCTGCACATCCATCATGCCACCGAACATGATGCACGTCCTTATTATCTGGTTGTGGAAAATGAACGTGGCACCGATCGTCATGCCATACAATTGAATGTGGAGGGTACGTTTACAGGTGCAGAAAAATCATGTTTTTTTTACAAATTCTCTACATGTCTATGTGTGTGTGTCTGTATATGCCTGTAACTCTGTGTGTGTGTACTGCCTGTACTATCTATGTAGTAGTTGTGTATACATTTTCTACTAACCATGGGATTTTCTTTGATTTTTTTTTTCAAAATGCCTTTCTATGTGTGACACACAACCATACATATATTGTGTATGAAGATATATATGTGTGTGTGTGTTATATGGCGAGATTTTTCAAAGGAATTTTTTAATATACACAAAATTGCACGTCTCCAGGATAATGCAACGCCATGGTATATCTATGAAACAAGCTCATATGAATATCATGGCATAGCATATAGAATTAATATGTACACAGATACATATAAATGTATCTGTGTACATATATAATCAAGTAAACAAGATTTAATTAAGATTTATTGTACGATAATAATATGAATATGAATATATATATATATATATTTTTGAAGTACAACAACAAAAAGAACAATTCTAGGAAGTTAAATTCCAGGAATTAAAACAAAAAGTAATGAAATAAAAAATAACTAATCTTAGGCTCCGCTACAGAGCAAAAATGAGGTATAAAACTTAAAAAAGGATTTTGAACTGCTGATGATATTGTAATAAAATCGGTGTCATATGAAAGCTAATACGTCCGGCTATTTGGAATTCCTTTCGTATTTTTATGAATATGAATCATTTTATGTGAAAAACCAGTAGGGAAAGTAGTAAAGTCGGACGGGGCCGACTATATGATACCCTTCACCACTTTGGGTATATTCAGCAGATGAATCCTAACAGACGTTGAAGGACCATAAACACGAAAATGGATGCATAAACAATTCATTCTGCAACCTATACTAAATTTTTCATTTGATCAGATATAGAGTTGCCATAGATATAGTATATATATATATATATATATATATATGAACCGATTTCAATGAGACTTGCCAGAGATTAACTTATATTAACTCCAGTTCATTGTACAAAATTGTGTGACAATCGGACAAACTTTAAGACTTTAGTGCACATAAAATCGGAAGAGAAGATATATAGGAGCTATATCTAAATCTGAACCGATTTTCACGACACTTAACACACATCATTATAACCCACACACAACTATGTTGTCAGGGTATTATAGCCCCAAAAGTTTGTAACGCCGCGAAATATTGGTCCTAGACCCACCTTTACGTATACCCATCGTCATATCTCGACTAGCTGAGTCGATCTAGATATGTGAGTCAGTCCGTCCGTCTGTCCATTATAATTTGTAAATACGATACAGGCCACAGTTATGGACCAATCTTCACGAAATTTTGCATATAGGATGGGTTCGGCCCAATGAAGGCCCCTTTTGGTAAAGATCGGTTAATATTTAGGGGATGAAATGGACCAAAAACTTAATTTTTGTCGGTTTTTCTGGTCGCTCCAGAGGCCGCAATTATGGCCCAAACACCACAAATTTTTGCATGGGGTAGGGGATCGGGCCAATGTATATGCATGTCTGTCTTGATAAAGATCGGTCAATATTTAGCGGGTCAAATGGACCCTGGCTTTTGTGTGAAAAATTACCAAATTTGTGTCCTATAGCGTATAGATATACCCCTGAAGGACATAGACTCGAGAAGTTGATATTATACCCAAGAGGAGTGCTTGACCTTTAAATTGATACCAACTTTATAGTCATATGTACTCGAATGTGGGAGTTACACTTAAATATTTACAGTTCCTTACGTATTCATATATTATTTAGTAACCTATTACCACACTTGAGGGCGGAAATATAGCGCTGATCGCTTTGAAATGTTCCATGAGGGTCCAGTTATGGTCAAGAACAATGCCTATAATTTTCTGTGATGATCAGATAATAATTTTGGGATTAAGTGGACCGAAAACTTAATTTTTTTTGTTTTTTTTTTCGAGTCGATCTACAGGCCACAATTGAAAGCCGAACATCACAAAACAATCCACGTCTAAGGGAGAGGGTGCAAAACTTCGCGAAATATTGCCCAAGCTCAGAATGTAGTACCACAGAAAGTTAGATGTTCATGGAAGTTGTGTAGGGTATCATATGGTCGGCCCCGTCCGACTATAAAGCTCCGCTCACTGGTTCTAGACCTAATTCATTACGCTATGCTGTGCAAATCGAAAAAAATCTGACGAAAATATATATGGGAGCTATATCTAAACCTGGACTGATATTTAGGGAACTCAATACACATCATTCTAGACCTAATTCATTACGCTATGTCTAATTCCGTGCAAATCGAAAGATAAATAGGGATTTTGGTAAACCATCTACATTAAATCGAACGAAAAAATATATGGGAGGTATATCTAAATCTGGACCGATTTTCAGGAAACTTAATACACGCCATTCTTGACACAATTCAGCATACTACGCAAAATTTTGTGCAAATCGAAAGATATATAGAGAGTGTGGTGCACAATTTACATAAAATCGGACAAAACTATATATGGGAGCTATACCTAAATCTGATCCGATTTTTCCCAATTTCAATAGGGGTCCGTTCTTTGGCCAAATAAATGAGCTGTGCCAAATTTTATCCAAATCGGATCATAAATGCTACCTGTACTTTGTTTAAAATTTAACATCTACAGACGGACAGGCGGACGGACGGGCATTCATAAATCGACTCAGAAAGTGATTATATGCATATTCTCAAATGGAACCATGGGCCTATCTCGATTACTTTTTGCCTGTTACAAACATATGCACAAAGACATAATACACTGTACCACAGTATGGTGAAGGATATAAAAATCGGAAATCATAGGATCTCTGGTGTAAAATTAATATGAAATCGGACAAAGTTAGGTATGACAGCTATATGTAAATCTGTATGGTTATAAAGCTAATTTGATACACGTCATTTGGTATTGGAACACTGTGTAAAATTTCGTGTCAATTAAGCACCACACGTAGGCACACGAATTACAGCAAATCGACGAAATATATATGACAGCTTTATCATAATCTGATTCTAGATTGTGAACGAAGCAGTGTAGTCGGATGGGGCCGAACATACGATACCCTACACAACTACACCGTAACTCTAACTTTCTGCGAATGTTTTTTTCGGAGCCTGGGCCATATATCGTGATATTTGCACCCTCTACCCCGATTAGAGGTCAACAGCACCACTTCTTACACTGTCATATTTTCCAAATATTACTAATATTTAGTACAGCTCTTCTAATTACTTGTCCAGATTCCCTTAATCGAGGTTTCTGTTGTGATGTTCGACATATGATTGTAGCCGATAGATCGACTCGAAAAAAAAACAAAGAAATTAGATATTCGGTCCTTTCCCAAAATTTTTATATGATCATCACCGAAAATTATAGGTATTGTCCTTGATCATAACTGAAAATTTCATAGCGATCAGTGCTATATTTCCGCCCTCTAGTGTGGTAATGCGTTACTAAATAACATCTCAATACGTTAGCACCTGTAAGTATTTGAGCGTTACTCCCACATCCGAGTACATACGACAATTTAATTTTATGGTTAACCACGCCTCTTGGATATACTATCAACTTCTCGGATCTATGTCCTTCAGGAGTAAATATATACGTCATAGAAATTTTGTCATTTTTTCACACAAAAGTCAGTGTATATTTGACCCGCTAAATAATTACCGATCTCTATCAAAACAGTCATGATTATTCTTTGAGCCGATCCCCTTCTTCAAGCGACCCCTGGAGCGTGCAGAAAAACCGACCAAAATGAAGTATTTGGTCCATCCCATGGCACAATGAATAGGTAGTCCAATTAGAGCAGCTGATGTCCTGATTAACTGTCAAAGTGGTCAATTTTACTAGAATTCGATGTGCAACGCTGCCAAATTTTTGAAATATTATAAGGAAAAATGTTACAGATAATCGAGACAAAAAAATGTTTTTGTTTTGATACATCACCTTATTATTGCATCATGGTCCATCCCATCTTTGGGCCGATCACATTCTCCATGCCTTGGAGCGTGCAGAAAAACCGGCAAAAATTAAATATTTGGTCAATTTCATCCTCTAAATAGTAACCAATTTTTACCAAAAACAATAGGGGTCTTTATTGGCCAGCACCTATCCTGCATGACAAATTTCGGGAGGATTGGTCCATAACTGTTGCCTATATCGGATTTCCGTCCGATTTAAAGTAAATGGCGCACCAAAGTCCCTATATATCTTTCGATTTGCACGAAATTTGGCATAGCACACTGAATTAAGTCTAGAATAATGTGTTGTAAGTTTCGGAAAAATCGGTCTTGATTTCGATATAGCTCCCATATATATTTTCGTCCGATTTAAGGTAAATGGTGCACCAAAGTCCCTAAATATCTTTCGATTTGCACGAAATTTGGCACAGCGTACTAAATTAATTCTAGAATAATGTGTTGTAAGTTTCGGAAAAATCGGTCCCGATTTCGATATAGCTCCCATATATATTTTCGTCCGATTTAAGGTAAATGGTGCACCAAAGTCGCTATGTATCCTTCGATTTCCACGAAATTTGACATAGCGTACTAAATTGAGGCTAGAATAATGTGTTGTAAGTTTCGGAAAAATCGATTCCGATTTCGATATAGCTCCCATATATATTTTCGTCCGATTTATGGTAAATAGTGCACCAAAGTCCCTAAATATCTTTCGATTTGCACGAAATTTGGCATAGCGTACTGAAGTAAGTCTAAAATGATGATTGGTGAGTTTCAGGAAAATGGGTTCAGATTTAGATATAGCTCCCATGTATATCTTCGTCCGATTTTAGGTAAATGGTGCACCAAAGTCCCTATATATCCTTTTATTTGCACGAAATTTGGCATAGCGTACTGAATTAAGTCTAAAATTATGATTGGTGAGTTTCGGGAAAATCGGTTCAGTTTTAGATATAGCTCCCATGTATATCTTCGTCCGATTTTAGGTAAATGGTGCACCAAAGTCCCTATATATCCTTTGATT